ATTTTGCAATCTGACAAATGTTTAAGTGTATTTCCACAATGTCAATTCCAGCATATACTCAACTCCACTGGGGATGTAGCAAAATCACATAACAAAATATAAGTTACTAATTTCTACAAGGCCATTATGAGTTGACAAACGGGTGATCTGGTAGCAAAAAGGGTCTGGCTACAATTATTAACACTGAAGAAAGCAATGGAAAAGCTGGAACTATATATGGAAACTAATATCATAAAAGACCTTGGCAAAAAACCATATTCAAATCCCATAAATTAATTTACCGAGATTGGACGCAACAGTGTGCTGGCAACGTAAGAAGGGACTGTCATGATGACACTTCTGCTAAGTATAGAGACTAGCCCTTCTGGTGTTTCATATGTCAAACTATAACTTCCATCATCCACTTTACTGATATTAGATAGCTTCCAAGATAACTTTACCTTATTGCCCAAGCTACATCAATGGAAAAGGTTGAAGAAATGATAAGTTCAGAGACTGATAGTCAAAACACTTGCTAGAAATTTTGTTTTAAAATTAGAATTTACCAAGTAGAAATAGCATTTGGCAACATGGCAAGTCCTTTCCTAAAAGATCCAACAGTTTGGCCCTTAGGCTTTGGCAGGCGTCTAGATGTAAGAAGTTGGTTATTAAACATGAAGTGGTGAGGGGGGAAAAGAAAGAAAAAGCGAGAAACTCTATGAAGTTAAAATCATTACGGATCTCTTGGTGGCTTGGTAGCTTTATTCCTTTCTTGAAAGGCTTTGAAAGTCCCACCAATAATGCTACCACCATTTTGTTCTAGCTTCCAAACCTTTCCAAAAGCTGCTTTCATGCTAAGCTTTGAAGAGTCACCAGCATATACGCCTGAACAAGACAGCTTCAGATCAATTATGGACTCGATGAGGACAACAACCCACCAAAGAAGTATAACCTTGAAACTAAATTGTTACAACTTTCCTGAAAAACTGAAAAACATCTTCAGCCCTTCCAATGAACCGTTGCAGGAATAGTTACGAGTTTCTTCCTACCATTTTTAAAATAATCATAATTTCTACAGAAGTCCACCTTTTATAAGAGATTATTTTCAACCAATGTCTTTAATTAGTAGATCTTATCTTCCTGGAAAATAGCGTTCTTATAGAATGAGCGAAGGATTCAACAGAGGATCAACAATGCACACAACAACACTGGAGTGAGCACAAATTTACAATAATTAAAATTGATTCCTAATTTATAAGTGAGAAAATAATTTGATAACCAAAATAATGGAGAATCTTAACCAGAAATAATGAATTAGATACCATAATAGGAATTATAGTGATAAAGAAAATATGCAAGATGAAATGGATATATAGATCTAATTGAGTATGGTTAATCACCAGAACAAAATGGCTCTATCAAGCGTTCAAAAACTTCATCACCAAGGTTCCGACGAACGAATTCTTCAACTGATTCCTCTCGACCCTGTTACCTTTGTTAGTATTACACTATATGAGAACCTAAAAACAATAAATATTTGTTTTTCTGAGATTGATGAGGCAAATAAAAGTGACAATGTACTTCAACATAAAGTCAAAGGACTGAGAAGACAAACTGGAGGAGGAGGGCGAATGCCCAGTGCACCAAAGCCTGCTCTGATTTTTCCACCAAGGCTCATCAGGTCAAAGAAAGGTAGATCATTAGGCTTCGCGGGCACTGGTCTGAGCTTTCCCTTCCACAATACAAATCGAGGTGCATCCGGATCTCCCAGAACTAGATCATCTTTCAAGCCACTATCCACCTGCCATTGTATAAGAATCAACAAATAAACCAAAGGAAAATATGTACACAAAGAAAATCACTTACTGACAATACATATAAAACTTTCATACAACTGATGAGATAAAAAAACCTAAGACTAAATCTCTCATTAATAGATGGTAGTCAATATGAAGATCGTCCCACTACACTTATTCTAGTTAGAGCACCCCATGGAACTACGATCAGCAAAACTACGAAACTTAGAGTGGACACCTTCCTCCATACATATAGATTGATACATTCCACATACTACAAAGAATTTACAAAGCATTAGTAAAAGGGTTTTTCTCATAGACAGGAAGACCGTATGTTCATTTGTTTTCAGAGGAACGGCATAAATGGTTAGATTCATTAGTCCGCTTGGAGGAATTTGGTATATCCCAATTAAACTCTTAGAACGGACTCACGAAGAACATGAACGGTCAGAGAAGGCTTTGCTTGTCCCATAATTATGGATCCGACTACGGTAATAGGAAAGGTTGTGCCAGCTGAGATTAATAACTTTCCGTATACAATGGCTGCTTGAAGGAAAGAGGAGATAATTGCCCTCATTAATTCGTCTTAGATTATGAAAATTACCCTAAGAAGTTAAAAATCTAAGAGTTTCCTCTCTAATTTGACCCCATATATAGTTAGAACCTAAGATTTTGGCCATTCCTAGAAAAATTTCTAGCTCCCCTGCTCTAGAGAGAGTCAACAAAAACAGCATCAATCCATAAGTGTTTAAAAGACAGCGACATCAATGCTAACACGAGATGCCTATTCAGCACACAACCTAAAATGGAGAAGACGGGGGGGAGATAAATAACGAGAATGATACCAACCACCATAGTGAGTAAAGGATCGGAGGGCTGGAAGCTATTAGGCCCTTCCTCCCAGAGATAGCCATCTCTCTCAACCGTAGTAATGTTGCCTCCAACGCGAGCCTTCGCCTCTGTGACGATGATGTTAGGCGCAACATCAGGGTGCTTTGTTGCAAGGGCCTGAGCGATGCAAAGGCCGGAAATCCCACCACCAACGACCACACAATCCACCCTGGAAGATTGACCAGAGACATCAGAAGTTGAAACAGTAGTGGAGCCCTCGGCGATTGAACATCTGAAATTGGGGCGAAGGTGATTGATTCGGATAGAAATGTGGAGTGGGTGGAAAGAAGGAATGTTAGAGGGGCGGAACAGAGTGGGAGGGTAAGGGCGCCGGAATGGGAGGTCGGTGAGAAGGGTGGCGCCGGAGGCCATGGCGGAGAGGAAATTGAGAATCGAAGGTGAAGAATGGATGCAGAGTGAACTGTGGATTTGTTATCTACAACAGTATTTCTGAAGAACCTGCCAACTCAACGAACATGGGGCGGTTTTTGTCTGAATCGGTAGTTTGAACCCAAAAAGTAAAATTTAATAATAATAATTAAAATTAAAAACTAAATATTTGTTATCATTTAAAATAATTTTTTACACGGCGGAAACTACATTTTTTTGAAAAAATTGCAGTAGTAGTAATAATGATAATAATAAACAATAATGTTTTTATTACATATCACACATTTATTTATATATATATATATATATATATATATATATATATATATATATATATATATATTATATATAAGTCAAAAATTATAAAAATTATTTGTAATTTTTGTATTTTGTTTCAAAAAAAAAAAAATATGGTCTTGTGATTTATTCATGTATCATTTATTAACTCGAGTGTCACATGTCACATGTCTAATATCATTCTGTCACATTTTGGTCATGTTTGATTATTTTCGAGGAAGTATTTTTCATTTTTTTAAATATAATTTTTAAAAAATGTACATTAAAAAATACTATTAATTGTCACAATCGCACTTTGATGGCAGCAGATTTGTAAGTGTGCGGCACTCACTTCCTAGCAACAAGTGAGTTAAGTCTATTCGTTCTTGCATCGCCTACGGCCAAGTGACATATACTCGAGTCTCTGGCCCCAATTCAAGAAGAAAGTTTTAGAAGATGAGGGTAGAGAGATTTCGAAAGAGAGTTTTGCAAGCAAGATTTGAGAAATTGAAATTTGTGTTATATGAGAATGTAAGCGAAAGGCAACAACAACGGCTTACTGCATATAACTATCTGGTAGGGAGAAGTTAACAACTAGTTATATCCCCCCATAGCAGTACATTTTGGGACATTTTAGCCCTTACAGGTGTAGACACGATTTTGGTGAACAGTCAATCATACACCCTGTACTGACCCAATATGAAATGGTAAGACCTAACTAAGATGAAAGCATGTAAATGGGTTTAGAACGCGCATGCAACCATGGACAACACGTCCTGGACAATCAAGATCAGGATATCTGTTATGCGGCCATTGACAACACGCCTTAGACATGCATGATTGTAACATCCTCCCCCACTCAATTGGTTGACATCCCTGTCAACCGACTCGAACAAGCAAGACTAAGACATCTGTTATGCTTTAGGCAAGCATGACCGTGACATCCCCTATCAACCGACTCGAACAAACAAGGCTGGGACATCTGTCGTGCTTTTGGCAAGCATAATTTCTAAAAATACAAATGAGTATAAATTTTAACATTCATTTCTATAACAACAATTCTCGTCGATTAAACTTACCATAAGCCACATATTTTTGTCTACTTTACGACATAATGATAACTCACCTTACTAAAAAAAAAAACCCATAATATATTTTTTTAAAAAAAATCGAGAACTAACGATAATGGTTAATTTCAAGAGTTGGAAGTACGCTATCGAATATGCCCTAAAACAGAGCACATCTAAAGTATAAGGGACTAGAATGATACAGCCGAGGTGGACATCGAACCATTAACGTTCGTGATGATAACTATTATCGTATTTACTACATTTGTCACGGGCGGGCTCGAGTTTACTTTGTAAGCAAGAGACAAGGGCATTTCAACCTCCCCAACAGCTAGCCCAACAAAAACTACTCCACCAACCCCATTTTCACAGCCTTTGCTCTCACAATTCAAAGGACCATTGGCCAAATGGTAAGTTCTCATTAGTCACTACCCCAACTTTCAGTCCTTTGTTTGGTTTCATTCCAATTGCTTTGAATTTAAGGCTAAGCCTCTTTTAGATGTGCTTTTTGCATTACCATACCATGCAAGCTAAGGTGGGTGTGACATTGATATATTATATACTATTTCAACCATATTATAAATAACCATACATCCTCCTCTTCATTTCATATTCTTTTCCCCATATAATTCATCAATCATGAATCCATCAAAAGTTTTCGTGTTCCTATTCCTTGTCCTGTCTTCTGCTGCTATATTTCCCGGCTCTCGTGCTTCCGACCCCGACGCACTTCAAGACTTATGCATTGCTGATACTTCCAAAGGTATGTATGTAAGTGATTATAGCTAACATCGTGCCGGTGTTAGTGGGTTCGGGCATTTTTTCAAATTCAACCTCATTCGTTCGAGTTGTAAATATTTTTAACCCAAACAATTCTCTATAAATCTTTTGGGTTTAATTAGGCTGGGTTGATTCCGGTTGTTTGAGTTATTTATTCAAAATATTGTTTTTAATAAAAATAAAATATTGGATTATAAAACATCTATTATTTATTTTTAAACATTTAATTCAAATTTATCACTCAACTTTACTATATATTTTAAAAAATTACCTCCTAACTAAATAATCAAATAAATAATTATGAAATTAAATCAAATTAAAATAAATATATCTATATATATATATATATATTTTAAATTTAAAATATCCAATCTAATTTTAAAAGAATTCATTAGCAAATTTAATTTATAAATTTTTTATTTATTTAAACGTGTTAAAAAATAATTCAATAAATAATTATGAAATTAAATATATATATATATATATAATTGTATATAAAAAAAATGTATTTTTTAATTTTTATTTATTTTAACTTAACCTCTTCATAACCAAATTCAAATGGTGAAATTAATTGAGTTAGATCTAATAAGATGAACACACCTGGACCGTTGGATCTTACAGGAACAAAAGTGAACGGATTCCCATGCAAGGAAGATGCCAACATAACAGCCGCCGACTTCTTCTTCACCGGACTAGCAAACGCCGCCACCATCAACAACTCCGTTGGATCCACCGTCACACCGGCCAACGTCGACAAAATCCCCGGCCTCAACACACTCGGCGTTTCCCTCGCCCGAATTGACTACGCAGCGGACGGCGGTCTGAATCCGCCACACGTGCACCCACGCGCCACCGAGATCGTCTTCGTCCTCGACGGGGAACTGGACGTTGGTATCATAACTACCGCCAACAAACTGATTTCCAAAACCATAAAAAAAGGTGAAATCTTTGTCTTCCCCAAGGGACTGCTTCACTTCCAGCAGAACAACAAGGATAAACCCGCTTCTGTTATCGCCGCCTTCAACAGCCAGCTGCCCGGAACTGTGTCGGTCGCCGCCGCCTTGTTTTCCTCATCCCCCGCCGTCGACGACGGCGTCCTCGCCAGAGCTTTTCAGATTGATTCCCAAGAGGTGGGAGAGATAAAATCTAAGATTGCGGCTAAGAAGAAGTGATCTATTTTATGTATACTGAGATTTTATTATTACTTTTTTTCTTTTTAATGAGGAATAATTTTTGTTCGTGAAAAATGAGGAATAATTGTGTTGGTTTCTACTATTTTATATTTTTATGGTTATAATATATATTAAGCTACATATTATCTTTATATTATTTCATTTTAAATCAATTTTTTATTATATTAAAAAGCCTCAATTAGGCAATCCATCTTTAAAAAAACATGTGATTAAAATTTATAAATAAAAAAGTTTTATTATTATTTTAGTACTAAATCTTTGTTTTTTCAATTTAATTTTTATCATTTTAGCTCGGGTTTATATTTTAATTTTTATTTTTAGTTGGTAAATATTATTTTTTTTCTTAAAATACGAGGAATTTGAACCTTTGGACAGTAAGAAATAAAAAAAAAAAAGGAAAATGTTAGAATATAAGTTTACGTATACTTATTATAATAAGTGTTTTTTAATCTCTTTTTTAAATTAATGAGTATTAATTTAATTTTTTGAAAATTTAGTAATATTTTTTAAAACCAGATATTAATGATTTTTGCGTATATATTCACAGTTATTAAAGGGCCTTAAATAAGGCTCGTGAAAGTTAATACTTATTATAATAAGCATTTTTAATTAATGGGTATTAATTTAGTTTTTGAAATTTCAGTAATATTTTTTAAAATGAGATATTAATGATTTTAGTATATATATTTACGGTTATTTTTAGTTAATGGGAGTTAATAATGCTCGTGAAAGTTAATCGGTAATTTTTAAATATAATATTAAAAAACTAACATTAAAGTATTTTTTATTTTATTTTTTTTAGTTTAAAGTTTATTAATGAGATTTTAAAAATATATATATTTGAAATATTTTTAAAAAGAAAATTATAATTTAATATTTCTTAAAATAATGCATTCTTTTTCACAGGGAAAGAAAATAGAATTGTGTAAGCGTTTGGAGAGTCGGGACTTTATTGGATCATTGGATTCAGATTACAATTTCAGAAAGCAAGAAACTAGGGTTTTTTCTCCGGCGGGGATTTGATGAATCAACAGTCGAAAAGGAAGAATTTCCGGAAAAGGAATTGTTGCGATACAGAAGATGGAGGAGATGGGGCGAATTCCACTGCCACCAAATCGGAGGAGGAAGAAGAAGAGCACAGGATGGCATTGGAGGAGGTAAAATTTTTGCAGAAACAGAGGGAGAGGAGGGCTGGAATTCCTGCACTTCCATCTGTATCGATGCAGACCAGCACCACCGGTGCTAGCGGCGCCAGCGGCGGCGGCGGTGGTCTTGTTAGGAAATCCACTGACGCTAACAGTAAAACTGGTGGCGGCGGGGGCAGTAAGAATGAAAGCGCGGGAGGCGAAGGCGACAAGGATGATTTGGTTCTTCAGGATACCTTCGCTCAGGAAACGGCCGTCATGGTTGAAGATCCTAATATGTATTATTCCCCTTAATTATGTCGTTTCTCAACAAATATATCTATTTGATTAAAAGTGGAGCTCTGACGGGTTCTCTTAACAGGTTGAAGTACATCGAACAGGAACTGGCAAAGAAAAGGGGGAGAACTCTCGAGACTGTAGAAGGTGCTGAGAATGACTTGAACCAGGCGGAAGATGAACTATACAAAATCCCGGAGCATCTTAAAGTGAGTGAGTAGCCAATGTAGTGTTCTTGTCTCTTCTTTCGCAGTTCGTCTGTTCAGTTCTATTCGGCTGAGTGCTGCATTAGGCTTTTGTTCGTGTATTCTGGGATTTGATTTCACTTGCCATTTTTGGACTGTTGTCAGGTGAAAAGACGAAATTCTAATGAAAGTTCCACTCAGTGGACTACAGGGATTGCAGAGGTTCAGCTGCCAATTGAGTATGTCCTTTCTCCTCCTTTGTGAAAGAACTTCATTAATTTCTGCCAGTGATCATCACTTTTGTGTACTTTCTGTGAATTATGAGCAATGAAGATCAAGCAGGAGATTAAATGGAATCATACTGATCCAATTACTATTTTGTATTGTAACACAGAAATTAAGTTTTACTTTGGAGCATTTGATTCCTTGGTTAAATAATTTGAAGTGCCGTATAAAATTAAGCATCTGTCATAATTGTGTTGGATGTGGGTATTTTCCACTGACATTTATGAAGTGTGTTCAACTGCTCGTTGCTCTATTTGTGACAGATTCAAGTTGAAGAACATTGAAGAAACCGAGGCTGCAAAAAAGCTTTTGCAGGAGAAGAGATTTGTGGGTCGGTCAAAATCAGAGTTTAGCATCCCCTCAAGTTTTAGTGCTGATTATTTCCACCGGGGCAGGGATTATGCTGAAAAACTTAGAAGAGGTGCTTCATTTCTTTATATTGTTTATCCTTTGGGATGATGTTGTTCTACTATTTACTCTCGACGTGAGCTTAAGTTTTGGTGATCACGTACCTAAGATTTTAGTTTCATACAAATTTTCTGCATACCAAATATGCGTGCCTATTATCTAAATTCTACACATGGGTAGTTGGATTGTTAGATCATAAACTAAACGCCCTGATATCAGGAGAAAGGGAGGAAAATATACTCCTAAAATTTATTAGATGTTATATTAATTCTGACAAGGAATAAAAAATATGCAGAACATCCTGAGCTATACAAGGGTAGAAATTTGCAAGAGGATGGTTCTGGTTCCAAACCAACTGATACTGGCACAGAGGCTGCAGGACAAAGGCAGGCTGCCACAGATGAGTTCATGCTAGAACGCTTCCGGAAACGGGAACGCCATCGTGGTATGCGGAGGTAACATATTTCTCGGACTGCTGTTTCTCCAGAATAGGAAGTGAGCTACTTGATAAGTTAAGCATCAAGGATAAAGGTTTTGGTCGTACAAATATTCTTTCACATCATGATGGCCATCTCAGGACCTCAGGTTAGAGAGGAAATGAAATCCATTCTTAGTTCATAGTTGTGAAGTCGGCTGACTGACTTATGATTCAAAGAGAGTTTTGGATATACTATCTACTTGTGTCTTAGTATAGCCTCTTTGTGTTACTTTTTAGGTTTTTCAGCTTTCATGTACTAGTGCAGAGATAGGTCAAAAGATGTGGAAAGAAAACGTCCTTTTATGGTGACGTTGAGATATTGAGAACATGAACGATACCGATGAAGGAAAATTGTAGACGATATGTTATTAGATGATGTCTTAGCTAATTAATTCCAGTTTTATTATGTTACTCTATTCTATCTCTTTTGTTAGTATTGTGATGCAACATAAACTATAAGATAAGAAACAATGGTAACTAAGGTACATTACTTTAGGTTTATTGTGAAATTATTTTCCTCTTTGTTACTTTAGAAGACTTCTTTCTTTCAACTCAGTCAGAAAATGGTTAGAATTTAAAATAGAAATGGAACAAGAAAGTTGTTCTTTTTCTTTAGAACAACAAATATGGGATACCAAATTTAAACCTCTGACATATTGATGACTTGATATGTTAGATGCCAGAATACTCGAACAATTGCGCATGTTTTGAATTGAACAACAAGCAACATGTCCAACGATTATTTTCCACAGGTATCACTTCATATCGAACTTGTTGAGTATAATAACCTGTCCAATAGTTATTTTCTTCCTCGACTAGAAAAGGGTCTAGCACGGTTATCACTGCCATAAGGAGGTTGTCGCATTCATGGGCATTCGTATGGAGACTTGTCTAATGGTCATTTAAAGTCTATCAACACAAGCCACGGTTGTTGGAGAGGGAGATCATGATGTTGGTGCTCGTAAAAGATTTGATTAAAGTTTGAGAAGATAGAATTCTAGACTATCAATCTTGAGACTTCCAACTCATGACGCGTTACAACAATAATATACGTATATAAGCAAATAAAATTAAGCATTAATTAATTATGGATTATACTAATATAAGCATAATTCAATAGAGAAGACACTTATTACCTTTCCTAATACTAAAGTTCCATCACCTAAACGAACTAAAAATATGACCTCGAGTAGGTTGCATTACAAGTTCATAAATTTTGACAATGTGCTAAATATGAAGCTATTTGAACTCCAATGGTCAAATTCAAGAACTAGTTCCTCCCTCAATAGCAATCTGGGATTTCAAGAACAGATTAAACGACGTCGCCCAAAGCTCCTTGGCAAGTTTTGTGTCGTATGACCGAGCAGAAGACTTGACCGTCCTACTGTCTCCGCCAAAAAAGTAAACACCAGATGTTTCCTGACAAAAGAAAGTTCAGTCTACTCAATTGAAGATCTTAATAGAACTATGAAACACACACACAGACAAGCGCAAAAAATTCTCACAGATAATGCAAAGGCTGCATCCAAAATGGAGTTGACCCCATCTTCAGGTAGCTGTAGAAGCCTCAAAAGCCTCAATATTGTAAATGCTACCCTAGAAAGATATGTAGGAACTTCTCTCATGATGTTTGTTTTGACTACTCCAGGATCCGCAACACTTCAGAATATGAAAGAGATCATATTTAACAAACAAAAATCAGCAGATCCATATCAGAAGCCTTGAAGGCTAGTTAGTACGAAACAAGGATAACCAAAGGCAACGACGACAAAGTTCCCTTACACGACTGTTACTTTATTAGATCTGTTCTCTAAGGAAAGTTTTCGGTGAAGCTCATAGGAGAACAGCAGTAAGCATACTGTAACAGAAAATGGATAGCGCTTGTCAGAATCGAGAATAGTATCATAAATTGTTTCTCAAAACATTAATTGCTCACATTTAGAATACTCATAGATACTAGCACATGGATATTGATCCAATCCCACGAAGCGCTTTCCACATACGGTATCCTCGTCAACCTGAACATCAAAAACTGTAGAACACAATGAAGCCATTATTACTGTTGTTGCTGCTTTCACAAGACACATTTGGAACAAAGTGAAAAAATGTATAAAGGCAGCACCGAGGTTGACAGTATCACAATGGAAAAAAAATCTCATTGCGTTGATGAAAGACCCATTATTCATGAACAAATCAAGCATTTGAAGAGATTATCCAGTAAAAAAATTAAAGCGTGGAGAGCTATCATTCTAATACAGAAAATTCTTACCACATCTATGTGTGAAGGATGAGACATTCACTATCCTAGATGGAGAAGGGCTGTTCTTCAGGAGTGGCAATAACATTTGAGTCAAAAAGAACGGGCCAACATAATTTGTAGCCATCATCCTGAGAATATAAGAAGTTAAAAAGGTAGGCCGGGTTGAAAATATCTTGAAAATAAGATATAAAATGAAATAGAAAAAAAATTAGAAAATCACAATGGCAAAATAAAGCCAAAACTTCAGAGAGAAGAACCCAATTTCAGCATAGAAAGAAGCAATGATAGGCTTAGGGTAACGGAAAAGCTGGACCAAATGGATCACAGAAATAGCTCATTATCTCACAGTGAACAAGAGTTCAAAGAGGCACATGAGAGTATTAAGTTCCAACAGCAGTTTTCCATAGCTACATTTAAACTAATCCAAAGTCGAAAAATTATATTTAAGTTCAGAGGCACAGTACCGTTCAAATCACTGCATTAATGCAAGACTAAAACACTTGAACAAAGACAGGGAATAGAGAGATGTAACTGGTCATAGCCTTCAGAAGTGGATCTAGATGACGTTGCCAATATCCCGGCGTTATTAATCAAAAGTTGCAATGAAGGATGCATCTTAGAGCCTTGGAGCCAAAGCTGAAGGGAATTCTTGAAGTCCAAGATTGACTGAACAGATAAAAGATCGACTTGAAAAGCTTTAAGAAGGGCTTTTTCATTCTGCCTTTTTATCTCTGACATTGTCTGCGACAATGTAAGCAGTCACCAAAACGAGGAATAACACATGAAATGAGGTAGGTATCAAACAAACTAAAAAACAGTGCATGAGGCAAACCTGTAATAACAAATGCCTTGACCGTCCAGCTGCAAGTACAAAATAAAATTTAAGAACACAAGCATCAGTTTTTAGCTCTGTTATTTTGTAGAGAAAGATTTGATTGGCTTGCATAACATTTAATGCAAAGGAAATGGCATCAAGAAGGGTTTAGTTAAGTTGTTTTTCCATCATTAGAATAAGAGCTTAAAAATTAAAAACAGTCTTATTACTGGTAAATACGTTGAATAAATTCATGCACAGATAAATGAAATTATTATCGGCACTCTATCAGAAGTCGTTTTGTAAGTAAGAGGCAGTAATAGTTTGAAGGTAAACAATGAGAATTGGGAGCATTATAATCCACACGATGTTTTGGAAATGAAGACAGGGTCCAATAATATTTGCAATGAGCGTTAATTTATTACTGCTAGATTCAAATGGTAAATCAAAATCAAGACTGCAATAGAAGTTGAGAAAACGAATGAAATGGTACAAGAAACCAACCAAGAACTACGTAGAAACCACGTTTAGAAAGAGCAAGAGCAGCAGCTGCACCCAATCCAGAGGTAGCCTACAACTTTCAAAACAAAGATACTAAATGAATTAAAAGCTGTACGTGCAGAGAAAGAAAGAGAGATTCAAATTTAACTTCAATCAAGCATAAAAGTTATAGGCAACTTTACACCGGTGATAACGCAAAGGGGCACGACGTCTTCCGAGGTGTAAGAAGAAGCCCTTTCATAGGAGTAGGAGGTTCCAGATCTGTGCTTAATAGACAGAGAGAGAAATCTTTGAAAAAATAGCAGCAAGTAAGAATAGAAGATAGAGAGATTCCACAGCACTGCCATCCTCCAAAACTCTGTTGATCTTAAAAACTGCCAAGCTTTTTTCAACTCTGTTTTCATGGAAGCCATCCTCCAAAATCCTAAGTATGAGCCATCAGACATGGAAAAAGTTAAAATCTAAACCTTTATACATAGAATCTTGATCACTTACCAACAGGGCAAAGGCAAACATTATCATTTGAATACGTAAACACCATATCAATAAGTATTCTTTGCGCACATTTGAATACATAGAATCTTGATCATTCAAAGGTGTAGGCATTGATACTCTAAGCCACATCAAACTATGAATCTCACATAGAGAATCCCCCCAGACATATCAATAAAAGCACACTACAAAAAGGAATGCAAAAAAATGTTTTGGAATTAAAGGATAATATGATTCGCCCAACTGCCATTTACCGAGAGCACACTACAAGACAGAAACATACCAACAAACCCCATCAGGTTAGGCTCTACTTTTCAGTAAATTAGAAAGAGAGAGCCCTTGTCGATGAATAGAACAAGAATTCTGACCAATCCCTTAGCCACCAACATCCTTCTTAGAATCACACTTGTCTAAATGTGCAAAATCATTAAGAAATACATCTTCAATCATTTTAAAACTATCTTCAATCATTTTAAAACTGACTTCGAATCATCAAAATCAGGCTTGTTTTTCACTACGACAAATGATTTTATAATCAGTTCAAAGTTCCACTCACTTCCGGCTTGGATTAATAAATTTGAAGCTTTAATACACCAATAACCTAATGAAAATCAGATTTAAATCAACCCGTCGTGAATAAACTTGAATGAAGAAATTAAAATACCTCGAGATTGATGGGTCAGAACTTCAAAAAGGCAACCACTTTCGAGTCAATCTCTCGCAGACTGTCTTCCTTTTCAACTTTCCGAATAAGAAACGAGAAGAACGATAGAACTCGGCCGCAAAAAGAGGGAAGAAAAAAGAAACGACCAATTTACCAACCTCCAAGTTTAAGCCATTTTTTTCTTAAAATATTTTAATAAAAATATTTTTTTAATATATTTATTTAAATAACAAACATTCAAAAAATGTTAAACATCTAATATACTTTACCTAATTATTTCAACCATGGTTTTAATATTAATAATAATGTAAAAATTACTTTATTACTATAAAAAAACAAACCAATTAATCGAGCTTTTAAACTTAGTTGGAAAGTATAATGACCCAGATCCACAGCTAGCACTAATGTCTTAGATCTCATCAGAGCTCTGCAGTTAAGCGTGCCTAATGTCTTAGATCTCATCAGAGCTCTGCAGTTAAGCGTGCTTAGACGAGAGTAGTACTAAGTTGGTGACCACTTAGGAAGTTCTCGTGTTGCACCTTTTTTTATCTGGGTCGTTACAAATGGTACACCGGACGATGTGCCAGCCTTCTCGATGTTCTCCGAAGGGGGGTGGATTTGGTGGCAATCCCACATCGATTAAAGGAAGAAGTGGCAGTGAGGACGATGGGCGCCGAAGGAGGGTGGATTGTGATGTCCTACATTGGTTGGAGAAGAGATCAAACCACCCTTTATAAGGGTGTGGAAACCTTCTCCTAGCGACATTCCCTTTACCGAGCTAATGGTGGTCTTAAGCTTTCCCCTCTCTCTCGTTTGGTTCTAATATCAATTGGGATTAAAAAATGGTCCGAGCCGCTACTCATCAAGTACGCGCAGTTCGTTTCCGATCAGGCCACTAGTGGCGGCAAGTGAGGCTTCTCTTTCTCACTTCTTCCACTTCCCCATCTCAGTTTAAGTTTGATTCTTAACACCATTTCGTTTTAGTTCTGCGATTTCTGTTGTTGTATTGAGATTTCTCTCAGCTCTGCTCACTCCTCATTGTCTTCTTCATCTTTGATATGTTTTTTTTTTTTTTTTTTTTAATTTCATGGAATAATGTTGTTTCTTCTCCGTTTCATACTGTTATATAAGTGCAGAGGCGATGATAACTGAGTTTTCCTGTTGTTTTTTTTTTTTTTTTTTTAATTTCATGGAATAATGTTGTTTCTTCTCCGTTTCATACTGTTATATAAGTGCAGAGGCGATGATAACTGAGTTTTCCTGTTGTTTTTTTTTTTTTTTTTTTAATTTCATGGAATAATGTTGTTTCTTCTCCGTTTCATACTGTTATATAAGTGCAGAGGCGATGATAACTGAGTTTTCCTGTTGTTTTTTTTTTTTTTTTTTTAATTTCATGGAATAATGTTGTTTCTTCTCCGTTTCATACTGTTATATAAGTGCAGAGGCGATGATAACTGAGTTTTCCTGTTGTTTTTTTTTTTTTTTTTTTAATTTCATGGAATAATGTTGTTTCTTCTCCGTTTCATACTGTTATATAAGTGCAGAGGCGATGATAACTGAGTTTTCCTGTTGTTTTTTTTTTTTTTTTTTTAATTTCATGGAATAATGTTGTTTCTTCTCCGTTTCATACTGTTATATAAGTGCAGAGGCGATGATAACTGAGTTTTCCTGTTGTTTTTTTTTTTTTTTTTTTAATTTCATGGAATAATGTTGTTTCTTCTCCGTTTCATACTGTTATATAAGTGCAGAGGCGATGATAACTGAGTTTTCCTGTTGTTTTTTTTTTTTTTTTTTTAATTTCATGGAATAATGTTGTTTCTTCTCCGTTTCATACTGTTATATAAGTGCAGAGGCGATGATAACTGAGTTTTCCTGTTGTTTTTTTTTTTTTTTTTTTAATTTCATGGAATAATGTTGTTTCTTCTCCGTTTCATACTGTTATATAAGTGCAGAGGCGATGATAACTGAGTTTTCCTGTTGTTTTTTTTTTTTTTTTTTTAATTTCATGGAATAATGTTGTTTCTTCTCCGTTTCATACTGTTATATAAGTGCAGAGGCGATGATAACTGAGTTTTCCTGTTGTTTTTTTTTTTTTTTTTTTAATTTCATGGAATAATGTTGTTTCTTCTCCGTTTCATACTGTTATATAAGTGCAGAGGCGATGATAACTGAGTTTTCCTGTTGTTTTTTTTTTTTTGCTTATGGTTCGTGTTCGATTAATTTGGGTTCTTTGGAGATGGAACTTACACAAACCCTTATTTGTAGAACCCTAATAAAACTTAGGTTTTCGCTTTGCTTTGAACTTATGATTGGGGATCTCTGTTATTTTAATTTGTCCCTGTGAACAGAAATGGGAAAAAAAAAATCAAAATCTGTATGTATAATTATGTCATTGACATGAATTTGGTGCGTTCCCCTATCAAAATGAAGTGAAAATTTTAAAACGTTTAAGGGTAGATTGAAACTAACCGTACATTAGAGCCATTCTATGTACTTTAACCTTTTAATTGATACCAATTGGAAACATTTTGTTACCCATCCTGATGTCTTGTCATCCCTTTTCTGTAAGCCTTCTTCATTATTATTAAAGGATGGCTTGCTGGTTTTTCCCAACATTTTTCTGAGTTGATTTGCTCTATCTTTTTCGTTTATTTGAATATTTCCCCTATTATTGATTTTTGATATGGTGAACTGTTTTTGTAATTGCTTTGAGATTTCAAATAATGAAGTTTTCTCTATACTGAAAAGTGTTCTGTTTTTAAGAAATTTTGTTCCAGTTAATTCTTGTATGATGCCATTGAAATTCTTTCTTTTCTAACATGTATTCGTGTGTATATATCTGTGTGTGCATTTTCATATCTAAATCTTTGTTCATTGTAGGTGATAATGCCAAAATTAAGACGTATACGGTGGATTTTTTGTGATATCGATGATAGTCACCTTTGTTCATAAAAAGTTCTGTGATTATTCTCACACTGGCTTATATGAATCAAATGAGCAAAAAGACCGTCCTCTCGAAAATCATCGGTAAGAAGCACCATTTATTCTCTTCTCCATTTCTCAGTTTACCCTCCAGACTTCTAGTTTTTCAAATGCACTATGATGTAGCCACCTGCAATTTTTTTCTCCAATCCTATGCGAACCACAAGAATCTCCCCGAAGGAAAGCAGCTACATTCCGTAATGATTACTTCTGGATTTATGCATTTGCCTTCATCCATTACTAGCTTGATCAACATGTACTCTAAATGCAATCAAATGGAACAGGCTGTTTTAGTTTTCCATGATCCATATCATGAACGTAATGTGTTTGCATACAATGCAATAATTGCTGGATTTGTTGCAAATAGACTTCCAGCACATGGGTTTCAATTTTATAAGAGAATGAGGTCAGTGGGTGTAATGCCTGATAAGTTCACTTTTCCATGTGTAGTTAGAGCTTGTTGTGAGTTCATGGAGGTTAGGAAGATTCATGGCTGTTTATTTAAATTGGGGTTGGAGTTGGATATGTTTGTTAGTAGTGCACTTGTCAATACTTACTTGAAGTTCGACTTAATGGAGGACGCCAAGAAAGTATTTAAAGAGTTACCCGAGAGAGATGTTGTGCTTTGGAATGCAATGATCAATGGCTGCGCCAAAATTGGTCACCTGAACAAAGCGGTAGTGGTTTTTAAGAAAATGGGGGAAGAAGGGATTTCACCTTGTAGATTTACAATTACTGGCATTTTATCTATTTTTTCTTTAATGGGAGACATTAACAATGGGAGAGCAATTCATGGAATTGTAACAAAAATGGGTTATAGTTCATGTGTTGCAGTTTCAAATGCGCTAATTGATATGTATGGGAAATGCAAGCATATTGAAGACGCTTTAGTAATTTTTGAGATGATAAATGAGAAGGATTTATTTTCATGGAATTCAATTATATCTGCTCATGAACAATGTGTTGATCATGATGGTACCTTGAGATTTTTTGACAAAATGTTAGCTTCTAGGGTTCTACCTGATGTGATTACTATCACTGCTGTACTTCCTGCTTGTTCTTACTTTGCTGCTCTCATGCATGGAAGAGAAATTCATGGATATATGACTGTTAATGGATTGGGAAAAAATGAAGACGGTGATGATGTATTATTAAACAATGCTGTTATGGACATGTATGCAAAGTGTGGATGCTTGAAAAATGCCCACAGAGTTTTTGATCGAACGAGCAATAAGGATGTGGCGTCGTGGAACATCATGATTATGGGTTATGCAACGCATGGATATGGTCAAGAAGCATTGGATATGTTTCATCATATGTGTGAGGCTCAAATTAAGCCAGATGCTATCACATTTGTTGGAGTTTTATCTGCATGTAGTCATGCGGGCTTTCTACGTCAGGGGCGCTCGTTCTTAGCTCGAATGGAACTTGAATTTGGTGTGGTTCCAACTATCGAGCATTATACATGTATAATTGACATGCTCGGTCGAGCTGGACATCTGGGGGAAGCTTATGAACTGGCTGAAAGAATACCTCTTCAAGACAACCTTGTTTTGTGGATGGCATTGTTGGGAGCATGTCGACTTCATGGGAATGCAGATTTGGGAAAAGTTGTTGGAGAAAAGATAATGCGACTTGAACCTAAGCATTGTGGCAGTGGTAGTTATGTATTGATGTCTAGTATGTACGGAGTCGTAGGTCGATATGAAGAAGCATTGCAGGTTAGACGAACGATGAAGGAACAAAATGTTAAGAAGACACCGGGTTGTAGCTGGATTGAACTCAAGGACGGGCTGTATGTTTTTAGCATGGGAGACAGGACACATCCTGAACTAAATGCATTGATTCATTGCCTTTGTGGCATTGGATACCTTCATGATGAAGTTATGCATTCGTCTTAAGATATGGTAGCATTTGCAATTGAATTGATCTACCACACTTGCTTACAGCAGTCACTCTCGCAGCAAGGAAGAATGATTGGCTATGGCCTTTGGATCCATCGTGCACTTTTTAAGGTTTGTTCTCTCCGTTGCAAGCATACCAGTATCAATAGGGTTGTTACATCTCCTCCACAAAGTAGAATGAAACATTCTTTATAAGGGTATGAAAATCTCTCCCTACTAGAGGGTAAGCTCCGAAGGAAAAGCACAAAGAGGACAATATCCGCTAGCGGTAAGTCGGGGCGGTTACAAAAATATCCAAATAAGATATAAGATTTTCCTATGGGGCCAATTTGGAATTACTTTCTAACTTAAGCGAAAAGTCACCCCAAACCGTCCTTCGCCATAGAGGCACAATAAGAACGAGTCGGTCCAAAAACGATGCAATTTCTCTAATGAGTTTCTCTAGTCAAATCAATGGCTCTCCCAGGTGATAGGAAGTCCTAATTGGGAACCTTCTTTTGGCCGGCCATCCTTTGAAGAACGGCTGCAGCTTATTAGAACAGTTATTTTGGTTGATCAAGATTGAAAGAACAACCACTTCTTCAGCTACGCGTCCACAAGTTTTGATGAACATGGATTCGATTCCTACAATTATTCTGTTTTTGGTTTAAATTTTGTTCCCCACTTACCAATTATTGTCTCAATGATCTTGAAGAAGCTTTTTTCTGGTCTCTTTTCACAGAATCTCTTGTATATTTTTTTAATATTGCATAACATCAATAAAATATTTGTTTACGGAGATTATTTTTGTAACAATCTCTATAATTTCTCATATATCAGATCGATTTCTATCCATATGTATCGGTATCTCCGTGGATAGAGATAAAGATAGGGATCCATTTAGATCTTGATTCACTATTTCCACTCGGGTTTCACTATTTTACGGTCTCGAATCTTTTCTTCTTCCATTTTCTTCTCCTGAACTCATTGCAAACTGTCAATCTTGACCAAAATATGGAGAAATTTCTCAACATTTTGATTGAGGAAGAGAATCCAGGATTTACCCATTTTTCGTTGACATGTGATTTTTGTAAATGTAGATGAAATCAATTAAATTTAGTTTAAAATTAACCACTAAATTTTCGGTCCATATGTGACGGTTTTTTTTTTTTTTTTTTGAAAATATAGATGAAATCAATTAAATTTAGCTTAAAACTAACCACTAAACTTATAATTTTACGTAGGCAAAAGAGGTTAAATTACAAGCTTAGTACACGAGCTTGAGATTTAAATCTATTTGGTCCATGAATTTAGAAGAGATGAACTTCTCATTTAATCACGGTCTAATTAGTCCTCGAAAATTCATAAATTTTAAAAATTATTGTATATAAAATTAGATTTAATGTCTATTAAACTTTAAATAAATTTATAAATTTTAAGAAATTTAAAATTTTAAAAATTAAATTTGTAATTTTGAAAGTTTTTTTTTATATCAAATTTAAAATTTAAGAAATTGAACATTTCCTTTTTCATATTAAACTTCCAACTAGTTGAGAAGACGTCGTTACATCCAACAAACAGAAATTAATTTTCCATATTTGTAATAATTATTTTATTTTATTTATTTTAATTCCCGTAATGGTTCAGCTCTTTCTAGAAGCTTCTACGCCCACCCCCTTAAACCCTGGCTCAAGGGTTCAATTACACCAGTTTCTCCCACTGGAACTGCTCCTTCTCTGCAACACTCTTATCTTTTCACAGCGCTTCATGGCTCCAATCTTCACTAGAACTTTATCCACTTTTGCTCTCTCTTCACTCCCTTCATCTTATTCTCACCCTCTGCCAAGCAGTGCTACGCGCTCGAGCTTCACAAGTGCTTTTCTGCACCAAAATGGGCTCAGAAATGGCTTTTCTTGTGATGGGTTGAAGTGGAAGATTGAGAAGAAGAGAAACCGGATTTCGGTCAGGTGCGAAGCGGCCGTCGCTGAGAAAGAAGCTACTGAGACTCTTGGTGAGAAGTTTGAGTACCAAGCCGAGGTGGGTCTTTGAATTTTCCGTGTTTGTTGATGATGTCGATTTATTTTGAATCCAGAGAGAGCCATGGGAAGGGAAATGTTCATCCTATTTGATAATTAAGATTCTTTTGGATGGAGAAAGTTTTCTGTAGATGAAATGAGATTTTTTACTAAGTTGTTAAAGGATTAGGATTTCTCCTTGATTTCGTTTTCTGTAAAGTCATTAGGTGGATGAGGGTGACAACCAAAAAATTTACAGAATACGAAAGCTTGTTATGGTTTTTGAGTTTCTGGATTTGGTATTTCTTGAAACATCAATTCCCAAACATGTCTCTGGTTTTTGTGGTGTCTTAGTCATGTCTATAGCATGTTTAATCATGGGGTTGTTGCCAACTGATGGCTGGAACATATATAATGAGTGCAGGTTAGTCGCCTCCTGGATTTGATTGTTCACAGCCTTTATAGCCACAAGGAAGTGTTTCTTCGAGAGCTAGTGAGGTAATGTTGTTCATTTTGTACTGATTCTGTAATTCCATTGATATGTTTCTGACTGTCCGGTTTTATCTTGTTTCCTTCCCGGAAATTTTATCATGTTATTATAATTCTTAATAATTTCATTGAAATTTTCAGATTAGATTTTATGTAGTATTATCTTTTAAGGAAGCAAGAAAATGTTCATGCATTGTAGTGGATTCCGCTGAATATTGTTCAAACATTCTTTTAATTGTTCTCTAGTAATGCGAGTGATGCTTTAGACAAGCTAAGATTCTTGAGCGTGACCGAGCCTACTCTGCTTGGAGATGCTGGTGACCTTGAAATACGTATCAAACCTGATGCAGACAGTGGTACTATCACCATAACGTATGGAAATTTTCTTAGTTCTACTACAGTTTTACTTTCCATTTCTGAGTGAACTTAGTTATATTACAATTGGAATTTTTGTGTTTTTAGAGATACTGGCATTGGAATGACTAAAGAAGAGCTCATTGACTGTCTTGGAACTATTGCTCAGAGTGGCACTTCAAGATTCTTGAAAGCTCTTAAGGTTTTTCCTCCCCCCATTTATACTCGTTTCAGTATGATATTCTACTCATCTTAACTTCATTCAGGCGTTTTATACTGAGTACATGTGAATTTAAATGTTTGGACATATAAGGAAAATAAGGACGCCGGAGCAGATAACAGCTTGATCGGCCAATTTGGTGTTGGGTTCTATTCAGCCTTTCTGGTTGCTGAAAAGGTAGAGTTACATTTTGCCTTGACATAATAACTGTTCTCCTAATTGAAGCTTGATCAAAGTTCTTTCCTGCTAAGATTCAACATTTTGACTCACTTCTGCATTTCGGCGATCATATGTAATCAGGTTGTTGTATCCACTAAGAGCCCAAAATCAGATAAACAATATGTTTGGGAAGCAGTAGCGGATAGTAGTTCATATGTTATTAGGGAAGAAACTGATCCTGAAAAGCTCCTACAGCGGGGAACACAGATTACCCTCTACTTAAGGGTATGGAATCTTCATCTCTTCTATCACACAACATCTGGGAACTCTTCTCATGCCTTTTAGGGACTGCTAAGAAACTCGGGTTTTTTTCAATGTGCTGATTGCTGTATTTACAGAGTTAAGGAGAAGAAAGTAATATTTGGTGGTGGTGTTGTTGTTTTTTAATATTTATTTTTATTGTATTGTAGATAGTAGATTTGGCACCATGATTTGCATTATTTTAGTGGGAAGTGATGCCATTAAATAACCATATCCACATTTTATTATCTTGTTCTCAAATTGCAGGAAGACGACAAGTATGAATTCTCTGATCCGTCTAGAATTCAAGGTTTGGTCAAGAATTACTCACAGTTCGTTTCCTTCCCCATCTACACATGGCAAGAGAAATCAAGAACCGTTGAGGTATGAATTCTATGCATTTACACGTGGTTTGTATAAACAAGCTATGTAAATGGCTCTAGTTCTTTCTCTTCTTAATGGGTTTGGGTATATCATACTCTGATTATTGATATACAAGGAAAATTGGTTGTGTGTTTCTTTTTGAAATGAGTTAACCTTTCAGATTTCTACTTAAAAGTTTTATCCAAAATGATTTTGTAATGTCTGATATTTATTTATCTCGAGGTATTCTTTGAGCTCTATTCTTGTCTATCACTTTCTTGATGTAGTTATGATTTAGGAGGAGTCGGCTTGTGTATCGTTTTTTAATTATCATGATGTTTATTACTATTGATATTGAATAGAGTTCTTGGGCAGGTGGAAGAAGAAGAAGAACCGAAAGAAGGAGAAGAACCAAAACCAGATGTAACCCACTTGTAAATCTTAGTTTGGAAATTTGCATCATTCTCCAATATCGAAGTATTTAAAGGGTTTTCTTTTTCAGGGTGAGAAGAAAAAGAAGACAACAACTGAGAAGTATTGGGACTGGGAATTGGCTAATGAAACAAAGCCAATATGGGTGAGTTAAAGTGACATCTGCATCATATGTCCACACTGAACTTGTAAAGAAATGATTTTGTTTCTATACTCGGTTAAATATTTTGCAGCAATTGTGTATCTTCGTACTCCCTTATTCTGTTAATTTGCTTGTGCAGATGCGGAATTCAAAAGAAGTTGACAAGGACGAGTACAATGAATTCTATAAGAAGACATTTAATGAGTTTCTAGACCCACTTGCATATACTCACTTCACCACTGAGGTATAGAGAGTCCTTTGGTTTAATTAATCTAATTTTTCTTTCATCAAGGGGTACTGATTTCATTTCTAAATCTGCAGGGCGAAGTGGAGTTCAGGAGTGTTCTATATATTCCTGGAATGGGACCTTTGAATAATGAGGATGTTGTAAGCTCTAAAACAAAGAATATCCGTTTGTATGTCAAGCGTGTCTTCATCTCTGATGATTTTGACGGTGAGCTGGTGAGTATAAATATTTTATAGACTCTCAGGCAGCGTAGTTATATTTTTACTTGAGTTTCTATGAATGGTGGAACTAAATCTACATGTCCTTTGCAGTTTCCACGATATTTGAGCTTTGTGAAAGGTGTGGTAGATTCTGATGATCTCCCCTTGAACGTTTCTCGAGAAATTCTTCAAGAAAGCCGAATTGTAAGTTTTTGGAACATAAATGTTAGTTTCATGAAGGGCTATATTACTTTTGGTTTCAGCTGTTTCCAATGCAGCAGTAAACATGCACAATGATATATTCTCATACATGCTCTCTGGTTTTCTATTCATTCCTACAAGCCTGAAACCCCAAGATTAATATGTTTCAACATTTTTGTTTTGCATTTCAATGTTATTACTGGTTCCATAGGTATAAACATAACATCTTATTTCCGTTGCCTTGATGATTCTGCTCCTATCAAATTTTTTCCAGGTGAGAATTATGAGGAAGAGACTTGTTAGAAAAACATTTGACATGATTCAAGACATCTCTGAAAGTGAAAATAAAGAGGTTTGTGGCTATAAAGCCAAATGTGATTTATATTTCATTTTTTAGTACTGTGTAAACTTCTAAAAGAAAATCTCAATTTCAGGATTACAAAAAATTCTGGGAGAATTTTGGCAGGTTCTTAAAATTGGGTTGTATTGAGGATACTGGAAATCACAAGCGCATAACACCATTATTGCGTTTTTACACCTCCAAAAGCGAGGAGGTCCTGAAGAGCTTGGATGATTATGTAGAGAACATGGGGGATAATCAGAAGGCAATTTACTACTTGGCGACTGACAGCTTAAAGAGTGCCAAGAGTGCTCCATTCTTGGAGAA